TTTAAGTATCTATGAAGGTATGCATATTCCTGAGCGCACTTCAAGCACTCGAAGCAAGCCAAAGCGTCGAAGAAGCTACTTAATATGTTACCGATAATGATCATTAATTCGTATTCGTTCCTTCATTTGTGTAGCGTAATCTGTTTGTCTGCTGTTTTGCTGCTGAAGTTTGCAGACTGAGCGGGATAAAGTCGAAGTCAGTCGAAACGTTTTGCTTGTCGTTCTGCTACAAAGTATTAGCATTAAAATACCAAAAATTTGAAATGAAAAAAACCAAAATTTATTTGTGTTTAATTCTTGTAGTTGATACACAATTTATGTTTACAAAAGCATAAGAACATGAAAATTTTAAGATATGTCATTGGCGTTTAGCAAATTTACAGGGAACACAAAAGAAAAGTATTTTTGAGATACTTTAAGTGGTCCGAGCTCAAGTGGTGTGTGTTTGTCTGCGTCATTATCGGACAAAACTCAAACGTTTTATAACTCGAACGTGTCAGGCAAAGACTTAAAAGTTTTGCTATAGATTTGTTATTATAAAAATTCATTTGAAGTTTTCGCAAGGAGTTCGGCGGTCTGGACTGAACCTTTTTATGACTTGTGGACACATCAGATTAGCATACGAAAACATTAAAGTGAGGCTGATAGAAGAAAAATATGTCTATAGAAGGAATTCATATGTACAGTTTCATAAGATTGACAAGTAAAATGGTTTTCGATTTTTTTATAAAATACAGCTTTTCGTTAAAATGAAGCTTTCGTTAAAATTTGACTACGAGTAAGATTTAAAGATTTCTTTATTAATTATTTTTGTACTATAACTTATTCAATTAATATAAACGTAGGTTTTCATATGAATATAAAAATATGTCCAATAGTTTATAAAAACCACAACTTTTTGGTTTCAAAGAGTTACAAGATAGAGGTTTGTGAAACTGCAATGAATATAAAAATAGGTTCCATGAAAGTGTCTGTACTTAATCAGAGTTTATTAGTTTATGAGAAAGTGTAAGAGAATAGGCCAAATCCTTAAACAAACGATAGATCACATAGCGAAGCAAGTATTGGCATGGAATCCACAAGGTAAGAGAAAACTTGATGCGTCAGCGAAAACATGTAGAAGAACGGTCGAAAGTGAATTAGTTGAAGCACGATATACATGGAACGACATCTACAGAAAAGCATCTAATACAGTCAGATTTAGAAGAATTATTGTGGCCCTATGCACAACTGGAGAAAATGGACAATAGTAATAGTAGTTTATAAGATTTACACTTTTCAGTCTTCAAAATAAAGATTTGTGAAGCTGTAATAGTATATGAAATGATTTTTAATCCTGATTAAATATTTAAATCATTTTGTAACTATTCTAAGGTCACAAAAAGCTATTCAATAATAATTTTTAAAAAGATTTCCAATAATAGATTTCTACCAGTAGTGAACTTTTTTTTATCTGCGGCAACGACTCTAATGTCTACGCACCCCAGAAAGTGAGTGTCTGACTCGTATGGACTAAAACCACTCTTCCTCATTCCTAGAGACCTTGTCCCTACTCCGGAACAACGTAAGTATTACTTCGAGGTAAGGTCCCTATTAGTCATTTATGATTTCTATCGGTGTGTCCTGCGTCCAGGCACCGCTATTGCTTCAGGTGATGAATCTTGCACTTCATCTTAATGTGATACATCTGATTGTTCCAACTGTCTTCTGACGAGATCTATTTTTTTAAACCTCAGGATCTTTTCAGCAAATATTGCTATGCGATGCCAATTTGTTTTGTTTTTGGTCATTTTTTCTGTCACCGTCCTTGGGGAGAAAACACCAATTTGCGCTGCTAGCGCTTCTCGTTAAGCAATAATTGAAGACTTCACAAAAATTATACCTACTTTGGGATAAATGCTATTGCTTCAGTTTGATCAATTTTTACCTTTCTAGTAAGGTCGTTAGTATAAAGCACCTCAAAGAGTTTGTTATTATTAATTTCTTAATAACCATTAATTTATTATTATTAATATTAATTTGTTTAATTTGTATTTTTTCCATAAAAATATTCTATTGCAAAATTGTGAAAAATGTCAAAATACACTTTAATCAAGGGCTTCATCAACAACTCTATAAATTAAAAATACTATATTTGTTTATTTAATTTAGTCGTAATTGATTCTGTCAAATAAATTTCAAACGCTTTGTATCTCAAACCGAATGTTTACTTAATGCTGTCCAAATCAGTTAAACACTAAATGCGTTTCATTTTTATCTTTTTTTTATTTATATGTATTTATTAAGATCATAAATTTTACTAAATTTTTTACTAATTTTTTACGAATTTTTTCCATGGACAAGAGTAACAATTGGCAATTGAAATCTAGAAAATTATAGAAAAATATTTCGTAATTTTTTCGAGGTGTCACAGAAGAATGCCAAAAATATTTCATCGATTTTGGCAAGTTCAGTTTAAATTTTAGCGTTAGATTTCTTCAAAGATCTTCTTGCCATCTTAAATGGTAAGAATTGTGTATAATATTTATCTAAGAATGATTGAGAATGACTTGAGAAAAATAATTTCAATTCAATCAACACCAAAAATTTGTCACAATTAAGATTTGTTGTCATTTAAGCGGATTTGTAGTGATTTTATGACAATGAAAAGAAAAAATAAATAATAATTATTGTCTTTATTATTTACGTTATTGGAACCCTTCAAAACGGTTAGAGATCGCGTTTCTAACTGGTATGATATGGCTTGTGCGCAAAGGATTGGATGTATACACGCACCTATTCGGTATTACATAGCAGATATATTGTAATTTTGTTGGGGTCATTGTTAGCCAAGTTGTAAAGCAAGTTAAGCCAATTAGAAAGCTTGAAATTAAGCCCTTAATTAGTAGGTACAGCACGTGCTTCTAGAATGAAAAAGATGAAAAATTTTTTTTGTTTGTAATTTTATTTACGATGCTTAAATGTTAAAGCATTGAAGAAATAATATTTTCATGGTATATAAAACGGTTATAGTTTGATAATGGTAGCAAAAGATATTGACGATGCAGTGAGCTCAACTTTTTTATTGAATTTATTAAAATCTATAATGTAATTATTAATTTAAAAAAATTAATAATATATATTTGTTTGAAATTTGATTGAAAAACTAATTAAAAAAAAAACTATAAATTAATTTTAATTGTTATAGAATCCTCTATATAAATATTGCCGGCAATTCGAAGTTTGTTAGATTTCTTCCTCAGGGAGAAGTAATATTACAACTCCGGTTGTAGAGGACTATATCAGAATCGTATCAGAATTTTTCAGATAGGGTTATGGACAGTAATTTTCAGAAAAAGTAATCAGCTCAATTTGTTTCTATTTTACAGATAATGAAGAAAATTTTCAAGATGGTGAGAAGATAAGTTAAAGTAAAGTACTCAATAACTA